GGGTCTGTAAGATGAAATAGTGGGCCTGTTGATATTGATAGTGGGTCTGTTGTTATTAAGTGTGTGTCTACTCGCTTAATAGTGGGTCTTTGCTACTCTGAAATGGGTCTGTAGATTGACTTGTGGGTCTGTAAGATGAAATAGTGGGTCTGTTGATAGGTTGACTTGTGGGTCTGTAAGATGAAATAGTGGGTCTGTTGATATTGATAGTGGGTCTGTTGTTATTAAGTGTGTGTCTACTCGCTTAATAGTGGGTCTTTGCTACTCTGAAATGGGTCTGTAGATTGACTTGTCGGTCTGTAAGATGAAATAGTGGGCCTGTTGATATTGATAGTGGGTCTGTTGTTATTAAGTGTGTGTCTACTCGCTTAATAGTGGGTCTTTGCTACTCTGAAATGGGTCTGTAGATTGACTTGTGGGTCTGTAAGATGAAATAGTGGGTCTGTTGATAGGTTGACTTGTGGGTCTGTAAGATGAAACAGTGGGTCTGTTGATATTGATAGTGGGTCTGTTGTTATTAAGTGTGTGTCTACTCGCTTAATAGTGGGTCTTTGCTAATCTGAAATGGGTCTGTAGATTGACTTAAGGTCTGTAAGATGAAATAGTGGGCCTGTTGATATTGATAGTGGGTCTGTTGTTATTAAGTGTGTGTCTACTCGCTTAATAGTGGGTCTTTGCTACTCTGAAATGGGTCTGTAGATTGACTTGTGGGTCTGTAAGATGAAATAGTGAGCCTGTTGATATCGATAGTGGGTCTGTTGTTATTAAGTGTGTGTCTACTCGCTTAATAGTGGGCCTTTGCTACTCTGAAATGGGTCTGTAGATTTATTTGTGGGTCTGTAAGGTTACAAAGTGGGTCTGTTATTATTGGCAGTGGGTCTCTAAGGTTAAATAGTGGGCCTATTTTTATTAAGTGTGTGTCTACTAGCTTAATAGTGGGTCTTTGCTACTCTGAAATGGGTCTGTGGATTGACTTGTGGGTCTGTAAGATGAAATAGTGGGTCTGTTGATATTGATAGTAGGTCTGTTGTTATTAACTGTGTGTCTACTCGCTTAATAGTGGGTCTTTGCTAATCTGAAATGGGTCTGTAGATTGACTTAAGGTCTGTAAGATGAAATAGTGGGCCTGTTGATATTGATAGTGGGTCTGTTGTTATTAAGTGTGTGTCTACTCGCTTAATAGTGGGTCTTTGCTACTCTGAAATGGGTCTGTAGATTGACTTGTGGGTCTGTAAGATGAAATAGTGAGCCTGTTGATATTGATAGTGGGTCTGTTGTTATTAAGTGTGTGTCTACTCGCTTAATAGTGGGTCTTTGCTACTCTGAAATGGGTCTGTAGATTGACTTGTGGGTCTGTAAGATGAAATAGTGGGCCTGTTGATATTGATAGTGGGTCTGTTGTTATTAAGTGTTTGTCTACTCGCTTAATAGTGGGCCTTTGCTACTCTGAAATGGGTCTGTAGATTTATTTGTGGGTCTGTAAGGTTACAAAGTGGGTCTGTTATTATTGGCAGTGGGTCTCTAAGGTCAAATAGTGGGCCTATTTTTATTAAGTGTGTGTCTACTAGCTTAATAGTGGGTCTTTGCTACTCTGAAATGGGTCTGTGGATTGACTTGTGGGTCTGTAAGATGAAATAGTGGGCCTGTTGATATTGATAGTGGGTCTGTTGTTATTAAGTGTGTGTCTACTCGCTTAATAGTGGGCCTTTGCTACTCTGAAATGGGTCTGTAGATTTATTTGTGGGTCTGTAAGGTTACAAAGTGGGTCTGTTATTATTGGCAGTGGGTCTCTAAGGTCAAATAGTGGGCCTATTTTTATTAAGTGTGTGTCTACTAGCTTAATAGTGGGTCTTTGCTACTCTGAAATGGGTCTGTGGATTGACTTGTGGGTCTGTAAGATGAAATAGTGGGTCTGTTGATATTGATAGTAGGTCTGTTGTTATCAACTGTGTGTCTACTCGCTTAATAGTGGGTCTTTGCTAATCTGAAATGGGTCTGTAGATTGACTTAAGGTCTGTAAGATGAAATAGTGGGCCTGTTGATATTGATAGTGGGTCTGTTGTTATTAAGTGTGTGTCTACTCGCTTAATAGTGGGCCTTTGCTACTCTGAAATGGGTCTGTAGATTTATTTGTGGGTCTGTAAGGTTACAAAGTGGGTCTGTTATTATTGGCAGTGGGTCTCTAAGGTCAAATAGTGGGCCTATTTTTATTAAGTGTGTGTCTACTAGCTTAATAGTGGGTCTTTGCTACTCTGAAATGGGTCTGTGGATTGACTTGTGGGTCTGTAAGATGAAATAGTGGGTCTGTTGATATTGATAGTAGGTCTGTTGTTATTAACTGTGTGTCTACTCGCTTAATAGTGGGTCTTTGCTAATCTGAAATGGGTCTGTAGATTGACTTAAGGTCTGTAAGATGAAATAGTGGGCCTGTTGATATTGATAGTGGGTCTGTTGTTATTAAGTGTGTGTCTACTCGCTTAATAGTGGGTCTTTGCTACTCTGAAATTGGTCTGTAGATTGACTTGTGGGTCTGTAAGATGAAATAGTGAGCCTGTTGATATTGATAGTGGGTCTGTTGTTATTAAGTGTGTGTCTACTCGCTTAATAGTGGGTCTTTGCTACTCTGAAATGGGTCTGTAGATTGACTTGTGGGTCTGTAAGATGAAATAGTGGGCCTGTTGATATTGATAGTGGGTCTGTTGTTATTAAGTGTGTGTCTACTCGCTTAATAGTGGGCCTTTGCTACTCTGAAATGGGTCTGTAGATTTATTTGTGGGTCTGTAAGGTTACAAAGTGGGTCTGTTATTATTGGCAGTGGGTCTCTAAGGTCAAATAGTGGGCCTATTTTTATTAAGTGTGTGTCTACTAGCTTAATAGTGGGTCTTTGCTACTCTGAAATGGGTCTGTGGATTGACTTGTGGGTCTGTAAGATGAAATAGTGGGCCTGTTGATATTGATAGTGGGTCTGTTGTTATTAAGTGTGTGTCTACTCGCTTAATAGTGGGCCTTTGCTACTCTGAAATGGGTCTGTAGATTTATTTGTGGGTCTGTAAGGTTACAAAGTGGGTCTGTTATTATTGGCAGTGGGTCTCTAAGGTCAAATAGTGGGCCTATTTTTATTAAGTGTGTGTCTACTAGCTTAATAGTGGGTCTTTGCTACTCTGAAATGGGTCTGTGGATTGACTTGTGGGTCTGTAAGATGAAATAATGGGTCTGTTGATATTGATAGTAGGTCTGTTGTTATCAACTGTGTGTCTACTCGCTTAATAGTGGGTCTTTGCTAATCTGAAATGGGTCTGTAGATTGACTTAAGGTCTGTAAGATGAAATAGTGGGCCTGTTGATATTGATAGTGGGTCTGTTGTTATTAAGTGTGTGTCTACTCGCTTAATAGTGGGTCTTTGCTACTCTGAAATGGGTCTGTAGATTGACTTGTGGGTCTGTAAGATGAAATAGTGAGCCTGTTGATATTGATAGTGGGTCTGTTGTTATTAAGTGTGTGTCTACTCGCTAAATAGTGGGCCTTTGCTACTCTGAAATGGGTCTGTAGATTTATTTGTGGGTCTGTAAGGTTACAAAGTGGGTCTGTTGTTATTGGCAGTGGGTCTCTAAGGTCAAATAGTGGGCCTATTTTTATTAAGTGTGTGTCTACTAGCTTAATAGTGGGTCTTTGCTACTCTAAAATGGGTCTGTGGATTGACTTGTGGGTCTGTAAGATGAAATAGTGGGTCTGTTGATATTGATAGTAGGTCTGTTGTTATCAACTGTGTGTCTACTCCCCCATGGTCGCCTGGTAACTGGGCTGTGTTTATGACTGCAGTCAGTCAAAGATTTGAACTGTGGATTAGTCATTAGTAAATATCTGTCATAACATCCAAGCAAACATTCTAGAAGACTTCTATAAATAGTCAATATAGTGTCCCCTAGACCGTAGGAAATGTAAAAATTTTAAGACGATGAGGCCTGAGTAAGTCGTAAATTCTGATTGGAGAATGCAGATTGCTGTTGTGAAGTTACCAACTTTACGTGAGTACTTGATTCTTTTCAATCCCAGTTTATTGCTGTCCTACAAATTTCTTTAATGCCAAATGTCGTCTAAAACACCCTGTTTCGCAAAAAATTTCCGGGGGGCTGCGCCCCCTTAGCCCCCGCCAAGGGGCTCTGCCCCTGGACCCCGCTGGGGGCTGCGCCCCCAGACCCCTGCCACAGCTTGCTCGCTTCGCTCGCTGCGCAGCTGGATTGGTCACGTCGGCTCGCTTCGCTCGCCGACAGCTCCCCTCAAAGAAAAATCCTGGCTACGTCCCTGTACGTGAGTACTTGATTCTTTTCAATCCCAGTTTATTGCTGTCCTACAAATTTCTTTAATGCCAAATGTCGTCTAAAACACCCTGTTTCGCAAAAATTTTCCAGGGGCTGCGCCCCCAGACCCCTGCCACAGCTTGCTCGCTTCGCTCGCTGCGCAGCTGGATTAAAAAACCTGGCTACGTCCCTGACCTATACCTACATCTTTATACTATAAGTATAAAGCCACCATTTTAAGAGGTATTTGTAAGTTTTCCACATATGTATGAGTGGACTTTGGAAATCAAATTATCAACCAAAATGTGGTGGAATATTGCATAATATATGAATAGTACATATATTTATTCTGACGGAAGAAGGTCATCAACTTCAAGTCCTAAATTATTAGTCCAATCTCTAAGATTGTTGATAGGGAAAGTTCAAAAAATTGGATTAAAAAATTTGCGAAAAAAGTTACTGCGAGCGCAGCTCAGCCAGCGAGCCACATTCAATGGAAAAGTGGGTCTTTAACCCAAAAAAGTCAGCACCATTGGGTGGGTCTGTGGCACCCAGAAAAAAAAAACCTTACACTTGATTTTAGTTCCTAGGGGGCAATGTTGAAGAATAGTACACAATATTGCTTAAAATTAAGTACACACAGCCAACAACCACCAGCTAACACACGTATGATGTAAACATTATATTTAAGCTAAACGTTACCTGAGAATGGGTTTACAGATCAGCTCCTCAATCTCCCTATCAACACTATCAACACTATCAACTCTCCCCCTATCTCCCTGTGTCCCAGCTTCCTGACAAAGTGCCAACTTGTTCCTCAACACTGCTTCATGATACGCGGAGAGAGGAGTAGTGAGTAGTTTCTGAAGCACGGAGTGGCTCTCCGAGGTGAAGTGAGTAAAGAGGGACCAGTAGGTCATGTTGTTGCGGTGTCCTGGCTCTTTTAGCAGACCCTTCACAAACCGAGATGTGCTCTTAACTGCGGTACATATATTATAGTGATGGTGGAGGCAATAGTTTTATGTAGTTGATAGAATTAAATGTTCTGAAATGTTTAGATCATTTTTAACGTTTTAGTTGTGGCACTATAAGCTTATTCACCATTTGAGGACTTTAGATGAGTAAGAAGAGTCCAAAAGACCCCAATAACAGTTTGGTTTTCCAGTCTTGAGTACATCTGTTCACACAACCTCATCAGGTACTCCAAATTGCTGTAACAGGCTTGTGTTACAGTCAATTTATATCATTCACCCAATTTTTGGTGGCTATCAGTAGGTTTTACTTTTAGACAGAAACATGCTCTGGGTGTTTATAATTTATCATATCAATTGATGGTGCTGCAAATAGAATTAGCCTTTTGTTTTACTAATCAGCCTGTTGTTCCCTAATTATAAATATCAACTGTCACTCTAAAAACTGAGGTAGGATATATATCACACTTCACAGTATTCAAACATGATTGTGACGAGAAACTAACTTGTGTAAGAGTTTGATCTGACAATGAAACAAAGCTAGAAAAGGTAGGTGAGCGATGTTGTCTGGTAGATGTAATCGAAACATGCTTTCGAACAGCAGGTCAGGTTTTTGGGATGTGAACAGAAACTGTTGTAACCACGAGGCGGTAACACAGCACTCAGGATCAATTACCTCACCTGTCAATCCTGAGAGAGATATAGTATATATTAGCACAGGGTTAGTGATTATTTTTAACAATCACTAACCCCTTTGGGGGCCGGGGGGATGTGTGGGCACGTGGTCGTTAATATTCGTTCGTTGTAGGACATATGTTTTTGCCATTTTTGCCCCCAAAAATAATTCTCCAGATTGGCTCAGTCTTCATGGAGCATCACTCATCGTGTTAAACGCACTTAAGGGTTCGACTAAATCTTCGATATTTCGTGTGAAATGACGAATAATCTGGAGACTGAAATTATCATGATTCACTAGGAACGTAAACCACTCCCATTCATTTGAGTCAAATCGAATTAAAAATTCCAATTTATTGATTTGAAGTTGAATTAAAAAATATAATGCATTAGATTGCAATGACAATACATTCTTCATTAAAAACAATTATAAGAAATAACCCCCACTTCTAACATAGTTCCATCCTTTGATTCCCAACAGTGCCTCATTTTCTTAGAACAGTATTGTTTTCCAAAGATTGGTATAATTTCTCAGCCGATGCAGATGACTGAAGTAGATAGTATGTAGTAGTAAACTGACCTTAATAAAGTTAAGATAGTTCACCTTAGTCGACATCTGATAATGCAGATGATGATGACGGTGCATTATCAGGTGATGTGATATATGATGCAGAAGATGATGCAGAAGATGGTGCTCTCACATTTTCTACCATTGCTTTACTATCGTCTTGCATCGTATCTGCCACAGAAGGAACAGTTACATTCTCTGAAGGAATGTTCAGATCATCAAGGATAAGAGTGAATGCTTTCTTCATGCATTGCCTGTTAATGCGATTTATAAACTTTAAATCATCTTTTGTCAAACTTTCAATATCATCAAGCAAATCAAAAAGCTCATCATACGTCTCGCGACTCTTTTGATAGCACTTAGCCAGACTACAATTCTCTAACATATTTCTTAGTTCATCACTTAGCGGGGTGTCAAAAGGAAGACTTCTTAAACTTCTCACCAGTCCCTCAACTAATATATCACTATCCTCACCTACAATGTGTAGGATTTGTCTTGCCAGAGATTCCGATAATTCGTTTAATTTTATATCTCCGACAAACGTTTTTATGAACTCACGCTTATCCCCTCTTTCGTTAATACTTTTAACAAGGAAATCAATGAAAATACGTTCCTTTAAATAGGATTCAGTATGAATGGCTCTTGCGATAAGAAATAACGATTTCAAATTTTCGTAAGCAGTATCCCTCGAAGATGCATCAATCGTTTCCCTCTCAGCAACTAGACTTCCATAATAATCAGTGCATTTGAGTACTAACCAATGGACTTTAAATACTCTTCCCAACTTGTAGACATCAGTGAATATATCTTTCTTTATCAGTTCCAATTCCCCGGAGTACAAAGCATCGACAAAACAGTAAACAGCATTCTCATCAATATCATCCATATCAAGAGTGGTCTGATGCAGTTCAGTTGTCAGTCTCTTAATTTCGGGACTATTATAAGACATTATAACTGAGTTAACGAGGTAATCCTCTCCGTTTTTAAGTTTCAGTTTCAAGTTACAATGTTCCGGAATGTTTATGTACTCTCTACCAAAGTTGCAGGGAACTTGAATTGTAGGAGCCATCTCCTGGTTTATACTGAGTACAATGAGCATTAGTCAAAATTAAGTGGTAATTTGGAAAATCTAGTGCAACCAAGAATACTTGAATCGAGTTAAATCAAGCCATAATTATATTTTACAAAAACATGCCGATTATATATTATGTGTCCGACGTCCGTGATAAACTGGCTACATGATGCTAGTGGAGTAGTGTGTATGATATGGCCGTAAATTTGCCGTATGGTGAATATAGAGTAGTGGATTATTTTATGTATGTTGGCAGTAAATTGGTTGTATATAATGCGCCAGTAGCGATCATTTTAAACTTATTCAGAAGATTCAATGCGTCCTATAAAAAGTAAGTGAGGGTCAGCACATGTAACGAATATTATTAGTGCAGCTATTATTTTTCTTACATTGCAATGTTGTAATCCGGGAGGGGGCTCTACTGTGCTCTTATCTCGAAGTACGCTCACCTAGCGTCACTAGGTATCGGCCGGAAAGCAGCCCAGAGATTCATACAGAGTGTGATTGATGTAATAAACCTAAATTCGGTACAATTTGCAGGCCGTGAATCATGCTTCATGAACTAATAGGAAAAGTGAGCGACCTATTTCATTCTCGGTATCATTTTGTATTTGAGAACGGTAATTTAACATTATAGCATTTTCTTTGTTTGGAAAAAGGCCAATTTTTGTTTTTGTGCAATCCTCATTAATTTTATGGCTGGAACATTAGTATAATTTCCATTTGAGAAGCTGAATCCTTCCAGGGATCAGATTTCTGACGCTGCAACTCTTAACAGTTCCAAATAATTTATAATAATTGCAACAATGATAATATCTACGAATGAAACTTTTTGATACGGAACATACAGTTGTACATATAGTTGATTGATTTATATCGTGGCTAAAGTTACAAAATATTTTGAAGTTATTTATAGATGAAGCTACATCTTATAAAGTCAACACTATATGATTTACAGCATTTTGTTACCATTTGGGAGGGATTAATGCTGTAAAAAAACGAATAAAATCTAACATAACTGCCGGAAAGACATCAAAATTGTCGGAAAAACGTTTTTAATCCCCCGCACGAATTTTGAAGGCAAATTCGGGGGAAAAGAATAACCCGCAATAAATCGGGGCACGGTAAATCGGGATTTTACTGTAGCTGCTATTTAGTATGAATTCTAAAGCAGCAAAGTTTTGGAACCTTAAGTCGTAAAATGAGACAAAGGAGCATGACTGAACGGTTTTAAAGATAAGAAAGTCAGTGCTTTTAGTAATTTGAGAAGAAATATTCTTCTTTACAAGTGCGAGAATAGTATAAATCGATTGTACCAAAAACATCGGTGTGGTCTTGCCGTTCATTTCTATTTCTGAGTAAAAGTTGAAATGATATGCAAATAAATTCCTCTGAGTTTTACTCACTTCTATTCGTTGGACCGCTCGAGAGGTTTTCTTTCCTTTCCTCCTCTTGCAACCACAAACACCAAATCTTATCTTCCACAAGTCCATCGGGCTTCTGTAATGTGTGAGCTAAGAACCGTAGCGTAAGATTTCACTCAAACGTTGCACGAAAAACACTTATTAAGCAGCCAAAGAAGTTCATGTTCAAGGAAAAACAACTAATTAGTTTGATAAGAAACAGCTATTACGAGAGAAAACAACTAGCTGGATCAATGTGGCAAACCTGAGTTACAGTTTCAGTAACATGAGATGGAACCTCCGACTTCCACCATTCTTCATATCCAGATGAGCCCAGTAACGTACATCCTTTCTCATACCAAGTAACGAAGTCGCTCTGAAATTGATCATTGAACAACGGAGTTTTACTATCATCACATAAATAACTCCCTCGCACACATCCTATGTACAATGCCCCCACTTTCCAAGAACGATTAAACAAGGTGCCATACAGGTTTTGAGAACAAAATTTGCAGCATACCTTGCTCTTCTGCGAGGTTGAAAGTTCAAGGAGTGATGAACAGTAAGTTGTTGCTTTTTCAGTGTATCCCATATGGTACAAGAGCTTGATGAATCGTGCGGCGACCTGCGTGAGTGCCGTATCTATGTCTCCGTCAAATACGTGACTTCTAAAGGTTCCTTGGTGGAATCCAAACAATGTGCCAAAACATTTTCTGAAAAATTACAGAAAATTCGTGTTAAAAAACCCTGCTGTGCAAATCTATATCGGTGATGGAATTGTTAAATATTATTTTTGATCGAAATGATACTGTTATCGTAGTAATGTATACATGTATCATGGTTTCATACCATCATCAATTAACTGACTATTATTGGTCTCTGGACAAAATTATTCGTTTTGTTAAACTTTATGCAGTGAGCTCCCTCCAAGGGAGCAGGACTCTAGAGCGGGGGACTGTAGAGCGGACTTGGTCGGAAGTAGGACCCTAGAGCGGAGTCAAATCGCCAGGGTAGGACTCTAGAGCGGAACTCCCTTACCGGACCCATACTATGAGGACTCTAGAGCGGTACCCACATGCAGATTTTAGAGCGGTTAGAAATTTGAGAGCGGACTTGGTCGGAAGATTGAAATCAGATTAGATGCAACTCGTGATTGATTATTACAGTCGTGACATTAGAATAAGTCATGGAGTTGTTGAAGCAGAAAATTGTCCAAGATCGATTTATTAATATTATACATCATATCGTATTGTAATTTTTAGATACGTTAGACAATTTTTCGGTATAAACTTCTTCCATTTGACTGATATATCCTCATGCTACTCTAAAATGCAAAAATTTGTTTGATAAAGAGGTATAATTATGAACTGGTCGTATCGCAGTGGCGTAACGAAGGGCCCCGCTGACTCCGCTGTGCAGGGGGGCGCCGTCTTAGGGTGGCGCCAAATCGTCGTTTGAATGTGAGACAATTTCGAAAACTTAACTAAAGTACTACGCGTTTTGCTCTAGATAGTAAGATACACACTTTTTTAGAGATTTTACCGGCGTATCCTCTAAAATCACCTAATTTGTTAAATTTTAGGGAGGGGCACCAAAAGGGGAGGAGGCGCCAACAGGGGGCGCCTTTTCGGGGGGGGGGGGGGCGCCAACAGGCAACGTTACGCCACTGTCGTATCGTATTTGATTTCGCTAAGCGAAATACCGACCAAGTACATGCACTCAAGCAGATCATTTAGGAATGAGGATCTCATCGCGTGACACTTTAGCACCTACTCAGGGTATCTCATGTTCAGTCTGGTGACAGGGTATGATCCAGATCAGATCCCATCGCATAGCGGTTCTTGTTAGTTATTTCGATAGTGCAGTATAAATATCACGGAGAATTTAGTTTTAGTACTTCGTGACGACTTGGGTACAGGGAGTTTCCACCGCTCGTAGCACCAAACCTGACCGCAATCCTGAAACCTCGTCGACCGGACTGTCTGCAACCTCAACAAGACAAAACCGCTCTAAAATCTGCATGTGGATACCGCTCTAGAGTCCTCATAGTATGGGTCCGGTAAGGGAGTTCCGCTCTAGAGTCCTGCCCTGGCGATTTGACTTCGCTCTAGGGTCCTACTTCCGACCAAGTCCGCTCTACACTCCCCCGCTCTAGAGTCCCCCGCTCTAGAGTCCTACAGCTCCCTCCAACCGAAATCAAACTTTCAGCACTTCAATGGTGTCATATGCCATCTACAGTTAACTGACTAATTGGTTGCGGGTGAGAAATTCAGTCGAAACTAAAATTTTGGTCCTGGAAATTTCATCTTCAAAAGCTGAAAATGGGACAGAGAATGGGGCAGTGTGATTTTCAATTTTCTTCCAGATTTGTTGTTGGTTCAGGATTTTAACCAGGTATTATAGTTAGTACTTAGTCCACACTGTAATCTAGCTACACAACTTGAAGGCTTTGTTTCACATCTTAATGAACAGTTTTAACATATATTTATGTAAATAAAATATGCGTGGTATTGATACAATTTAATCAATATGATATAATATAAATAATTGATAGAGTATAATTTAATTAATATAATATTACATAACGTATATTGAATATATATATAATAATAATAATAATATTGTATCTCCTGATTTTTATTCGATATCATAGCAGCACAGACTGCTGGTACTGAAAGAATATCATTCCTTTGGAAATACTACTTTCTATAATGTTACCATACCCAGCACACTCGAATAATTATAACATTTTATCGTGTACTACATTGTAGTATGTAATAAACATTTGTAGTAGTGTAGGATTGTTTGAATTTCTTTTTGCTAGGTTTTATAATATTTATTTGTATAATTTGTGATTGTTTCTCCCGGTTTTCTTCCCTTGCGTAGCAAGCCCTGTCTCTTGTAAAAACAACCTCGAAAGATTTGTAGATACAAATAGTCTCTACACCTTTACCCTCTGGTCCCTAGGGTCAGCTGATCCCGGGCCAGAGGAAAACTACCGACTGCCAAGGTTTGATGCCTAGGCAGTCGAGACCTCTTATTGAGACCCTTTATAATAACATAATTAATATAATATAAATATAATATCCTGTGCGCGAAGACACGGACACTTTCGTTACAACTAAGTCATCGCGCCCTACGTTTACAACAAGGCGCGAGTATTTAACTGGCATGCGCGGCGTAAGAGGCAACCCACAACCTGACAATTCTCGAAACCTGCGATCTGAGTTCAACAAAGTCTCTGTTTGAAGATAAGACGATTGGGCTATCATATAAACCTGTATGCAGCAACGACCGAGGAGAAATTCAGCTCAGTAAGATTGTTCGCTTTGTAGTGAAGATACTCCAGCCATAGGTCCAGTTTGTTAGGATGATGAAACAGAATATCAGTCCACACACGCCCTTGGGAGAATATTATACATCGTCAAGCTATAGTCTTTAAATAAAACGAAAGTAATGGTTGTAATAAAATTACAAATGTACTCTACTCGTAAGTCATCAAACACTGATGTGACAGCTTTTAACCATCATTGATATGCTCTAAAAATAGTATCACAGTATGCATAATGTAGGATTGACAGCAAAAAAGGATTTAAAACAGTCCTGAAAAAGAATTAAGTTATAATGAAGGTATAAAATACATGTAAAATGAGTAAACCAGTGAAAACAAAATTATTACATGTGTGCCTAGTGACCACTGCTCCGGACTCACGTACTCACCTATTTGTTGATTCGACATGAACTGCTTAGCAGTGTCGATTGTCTTTTTAAGAATCAGTAGATTTTGAGGTAAAAATTTCCTCGCTTTCTGACAGATTTCGTATCTGCGTTCTAATCCAGCTTTAGTTGTACCTAGGATAAAGTAAAAGGTGACGTAAACCTTATCGTGGCAAAATGTTGACACAAAGAAAAATAAATGACTTTGCAGCAAAGTGTTTGCTTCAAGAAGACCTGTCCAATGTCATTCAACGTGTCCAACAAAATAACAGGCACCATAAAGAACTACTAACCAGTGGATTGAATGAACTGTATCCAGCGGTCCAGATCCAGTGGTTGTGATTTAGAAGGATCCAGAACAGCGAGTACAGGCTCAGCTGGCTCCCAACATGAGGATGATACTGTCAGGGAGATATAGTCAGCGTTTATACGTAGGAACCGTGTGCGGTGGGAGAGGGTCAGCTCCGGCGCTGAGATCCTCTTGTAATACCTGGTGTGGGGTGAGGTTAAGATAGCACTATTTACTTACACTAAGTACAAATTTGAGTGTTTCAAACGTTGCAAAGTGCTCCACTAATATCAAATATGTATTAGGATTTAGGAGCTATTGTAATTTTGTATAAAGCATGGACAATTTTATTATTTGTCGCTACTGTTTAACCGAGGATTTGTTTCCAATTTGCAAAAAATCTATGAAGATAATTGTAACAAATTGCTGGAAGTAGTTACCTAGCTGCAGGATCAAGGGAAGCTGGAGGAGGTTTGGGTTTAGTTCCAGCTTGGAGATAGGGAGTTTTAGTATTGTCACCAAGACAGCACTTTATACGTATTTTGTAGGAGGGGATATCATACGAGTACAGCGAACCGTAACGGTAGTTGTTTTTATCACCTGTAAAACAAACCAGTGTCAATCACAGAGCATAAATTACTTTTTTGAAACTGATAAATTGTTGACAAGGCACGTCAGATGGTATCTATATTTTAGAAATTGAAATGAAACATTACCTTTATAAAGCAGCTCATACAGATCAAACTTTGAAATCTGCTCAACAACTTTATCACTGTGATGTTTCTTATGTTTCTTCTTCTTTTTCTTTTTCTCTGCACTGACTTTATCAGTTCTCCTTCTTTTAGAATCTGCAAAGCGAAAACATAATATCGAGTCAAACGATGATAACACAGATAACAGATTACAATTTCCAAAATAACATGGCAAAACCTTACCTTTTTTAACGGATTCAGACGACTTTACTGGGATGGCAGTTTTAACACTGCCCTGAACAGATTCTGAGTTGAGTCGCCCCACCAAGTGCTGAGGAAAGCTAGAGTTTTGCAACCAGCTAGTAGCACTGGTAGCACTAGTAGCACTGGTTTCATCAGCAGTGGTGCTAGCTGCAGCTCCAGAGGGCCCGAAACTGGGAAACAGTGTTCTCTCCGTCATCCTAGCTGTAGAGCAACTGTAGAGGCGTGGTTAGTGATTTTTTCCTTTTCACCCTTTTGAAAAAAGGCAATAGTGAAAGGTTACGAATGGAGGTTTTTGCAGAAAAACGTGGATTTTGGAGATAGCAGTAGGCGGGTCTGAATATGATGTCATTCCGTCCGTTACCATGCAACGAAAAAGTTGCGCGCGCGCGAGGATTGCTTGCGGAGATGTGATGTATAGATAGCCTGTGATCTATGAATGCGCGGCGTGACTGTATGTATATGATGCATGTAATGTATAATATTACTATTAGGTAATACGCCCAATTTGTACGTGGCACGCATAGTGTATTGATGTGTACACGAGTATAGTTTACCTTTGCTGATAATTTCTTGAATTACAGATACAATAAGTTAAGTTCTACGGCAATTGAACTGAATTTCAAGTGTTTCCCGTATTTGGTGCATAATTTATCAATATTATTATCATGAAGATTGAAGTGAGCTGATTGGAGCTTATACTTAAATTTATAGTAAATGTGAAATGGAAATCTAGCGTCCGCCAAAACAAAACAACGGGCGCAATTCTTGTTAAATACAGGTAGGTACATTAAACAAAATATCAAACGAGATAGCTATTGTGAATACACCTGATAATTTAACATGTTAATTAGAGCATGTGCTACTCACATAGACAATAAACATTTAAACAATTAAATGCATCGATTAAAAGAATATTTAGTTATCCAGCAATCCAATAGTACAAATAAATTGGGCCCAATACAGAATGTTAAAGACAACTTGGGCGACAGAATGTTATAAAATAATTTGTTGATGTCTGATAATGAAGAAGTTTAACAATAACCAGGCCACATGCAGGCAATATCGTCCCCTACACTGTTCAGCAAACAAACAAAGCAGTTAAAATAATACAATAAAACTAAGGCTCTGGTGATTCTACTGACTGGCAACACTAGGTGCCCTACTCCTAATAGCAACTTTCTGGAGGTGTTTGTCTGGCGCGTGGTTATGAGAACTGTAAAAAGCTTTGATAATCTCCGTAACATCAGTCATCATAGCGACAGTGTAGGCATACACAGAGTGTGAAGCGTTGTTGTACATGAGCGCATTGTGGAACATCAGGAGCAGGTCACGGTGGAACTGAGCCGTTGTTCTGATCTCGTTTGTGTCTATCTTCCTCTTTATTGTTGTGAGATCAATGGGGCGTCGTACTGTTGAGGAGTAACCGGGAGCCAGGTCGTCAGTTACTGGATGCATGAATATGTGAGCGTATTTGTTTTGGGCAGCAGTCTTCCAAAGTAACAGAATGTTCTTTTTCCAGGCCCTGAAGCTTGGACTCTCAAGGTCGAGTGCTTCAGGATCGATTCGAGGTGACATGGTCTGACTTTGACTAGCTGTTGCTGAAGATGCTGGAGAGGAGGAGGCATCAAATGATTCGCTTCGTGGATCTTGTTTTTCCAGACCGAAGCCTGCAGCAAGCTTAGAATCCTGGTATAACGAGCTGTACTGAGCGTTGGGATTAATCCCACTTCCTGATGGTGGCTGGTAGTCGAAATGAAATACATCAGTTATCTTACTCTCCTTCTTATCTCCTTTAGCGACACATTTCGGATCCAAATTGCTGGCCATCTGAAGTGCTTTTATTTTTATTTTAGGAACAACAGGCTTCTTCTTTTGAGGTTTCATGGCTTTCATCTTAGTTTTGTCACTGTCAGAGTGTTTAGTTTTAGTACCCACCATTCGAGAACCACTGGGAAGTCTGGGAGAAGGAACAAGTCGTGGCCCTCTACTAGGTGAGGAGGCAACTGGACTTCTGGACGGCACACTGGTGGGGGTGTGTCCAGGTGATATGTGTATAGAAGTGGACGGATGAGCACCTGATGTTAAAGATGTACTAAGTTGAACAGTGCCGGGTCGTGCCTCAGCGGAACTCAGTTTAGACTGTGCTTTGTCAGATTTATTGCTGGTAGATGAACTGTGTCCCTCGTCAAGCACTTCTTCCTTGATTTTTGTTGAAGAAGCCTTTGGCTCTTCCTTGGCTCTACGCTCAGCAAGTATGTTAGCCACTAGAAGGCTTAGAGATTGGAATTCTAAAGAATGTTTCCGTTTCTGAACTTCGTCCCATGCAACTTCGATGTGAGAGTTATATTTACCACTGTTCACTTCATTTAGTTCTACATGGAGCTGTGTGCAATTGGCATGAAGTTTTTGTACTTTAGTTTTAAGCTCAGCAATACGCTCAGCAGTAACAAATTTCAAAACTTGTTCTGCTGCACTAAGATTTTCATTAACTGGAGTTTCTTTCTTCCTTTTAGTATTCTCCATCTGAAATACAGGATACTGTAAGTCTGAATCATCATACATTTTTATTCTGGGATTCATGCACTGAATTTTAATGTTGTTCACAATATTTTTTGTCATATCTATCACATCGGTCAGAACTAAAATTGAATGATGATTGATGAAGATGTTATAATTGTGGAAAGGGTTTCAAGAAAATACGAAAAATTTCAGCCTACCTGTTCCAAGAGATGATCATATTTCAAAGCACAATTCTTGGCACTGAAGAGCTCTATGTTCTTGGATGGTGATATATACGGTCTCACAAGTCGACTAACAGTTGGCCAGTTGCTGTCCCCCTTTTTAACGATTGCAGATACCAGGGCTAGCTGTTCCAGAGATGTCCACTCCACAACACTGTCAGGTATCACAACTGTTGTAGACATCTTCTGAGATATAATATTGTTGATAGAGAAACAATTTTTTTTAGAGAACCAAATTTTAAATTTTATACAAAATTTTAAATTTCATGGGTTAAAGAACTGTAAGAATCTGGGATCTTAAAACTGGAAAACTAATACACAGTATAATCAATTGTAAATGAATAATGATTATTAAAGTATACAATGATAGCATGTAGCCAGAGCTCGACCGGGATACCTGCCGGGATTTGGCGTTTTTGTCCCAGTCCCGTTCCCGGCCGGGATAACCGTTTTGGCCGGGATATTACTATTAGCCGGGATTTTTTAGATCCAATTTAGCTTCAAAAATCGAACTAATCGGTGAGGTACCAGCAATGAGGTACCAGCAAAACTGCGCGTTTTGCACTAGAAACACACTTTTTTAGAGATTTTACCGGCGTATCCTCTAAAATCACCTAATTTTAGGAAGGCGCACCAAAAGGGGGCACCAACAGGGGGGCGCATTTTCGGCAGTGGCGCCAACAGGCAACGTTACGCCACTGAATGTAACGATGTTGATATCAATTTGGCATGCTTAAGAGAAATTGTCATTTTATTCATGATCTGAACAAGAGAAGAGTCCTGTATCTTGCTCAATATTCGAACACTGTCCCATCATTTGGCGACCAGCGTCCAGCAGCACTATCAATAGGCTTGAAGGATTGCAGAAAAGGGCCCTCAAATGGATTCGTAATGATTACGGTGTAAGCTATAGTGTAGAGGAAATCTATAATGCCCATTGTAAACAGTTAAATATTCTGCCCCTAAAGTACAGGTTTGATTACCATGATCTCAAGTTCTTTCATTCCCTAGTGCATCAATACCACCCATGTGCACCACTCTGCCTCATTACCTTACTTTCTTCTCCGGGTCAAGCCGACTGAGAAGCTCACATCTTGATCACTTATCAGTAATATCTTCAATTCCACCTGGCTCAGCTATATCTAAATCTTACTTTTATCGAGCTCATCTCACTTGGAACGGACTTCCTCTTTCCCTTCGAGAGATTATCAGACCAGGTGTGTTTAAAGCAGAACTTATTAAACACATCTGGAAGGAACATGTTTGTACTGCATCTGTAGATAATGGCCCTAGTTCAGATCCTGACAATTATTTTTCTCCTGACTACGGGTAGTATATTTCTCTATTATTTTTATTTTTATTTTTTGAGGTACTCATCACACATTTTTGCTTTATTCGGATACAATTTTGATTTAGTCTTTTATATTCAATTAATTAAATTTTATCGTTAAAACTTCATTCCATCGGAAATATTACAAATCAGCCAATTGTAATTGAGAATTTCTGGGTTGTGGCCATTATTCTTAAAAACCTAGAAATGCCTCCTAAGGTCACAGCTCGTATTATTTGCCCATTTTTCTCCTTCTGAACTTGGGGCCCAATGTAATTGCTCGACTTTTCATCAGGTCTCTCGAGGCCTTTTGTTTGGTTATTTGGGTGTATTGGTGTCCCCTGATTGTTATCATCGCTGTACACCTGTCAAAGGCATTTCTTGGTTTCTCTAGTGAAAACTTGCCACAGGCCTAAGTATTACATATCAATCAATTACAATTCATTAATGTTACCAATATTAAAAACTATCCAAAATATATAAGAAAGTATTCTCTAGCCAAAGGGCTCAATATTTAAATCTAAATATTGTCTGGTTTATATCGCAACTTGGGCCCTCTAGTCCATTTTTAGAAATTCCATACAATATTGATATTGTAATAAATTCTGATGATAATAATTGAAAGATTTTTTTTTTAAATGTTGTCATCCTCTGCTTCTCTTAGTTCTCTAGCAGGTTGCTTCAAATGTTCCATTTCAACATAGAAATATCGTGAAAGTCCCGGTCGCGGTCCCGGCCGGGATTAAGCTGATCCCGTTCCGGCCGGAATTTCAGTTTCATCCCGGTCCCAGTCCGGCCGCGATGAGGGTCATCCTGGCCTAGTCGGGACAAAATTCTGGCCCGGCCGGGAAAAAATTTCGATCCCTGTCGACCCCTGCATGTAGCATAAGATTTTTTTTTAAATTTGAAAATTCAATTAATTATTATATATATAAAATGGATCTTAAAATTTATTCCGCTTTTATTTTTATTCCCACTCTCGATTCCTTGCTAGCAGTCCGGTTAATTTAGTACCTTTAGTGGGTCTCATTTAATCATTAGCTCTTATTAAAGATCCTCTCACCCTCTCAGATTTTCACCGCTCCGTTCAATTTTATAGCTTTATTATTTTTATACTTTTACTACACTTACTAACACGTGCATATTACAAAGGAGCAATAGTTTGCGGAGGCATTCTAGAACGGTATATATTTTAGCTTTCAGTTTCTGTTTCATTATCTTAAAATTTATTCCGCTTTTATTTTTATTCTCACTCTCGATTCCTTGCTACGCTCTAAGTTATTAATTTTCCTTGTGTTTGAATCCAGTCACTTTTTAACTGTTTTTAGTCTTTGTTATTTTCGGCCGATTTCTGCACTTTTACACTGGGTCATCATTCATAATTTCTGGGATTGAGACGACTTATATCAGCATTTAAGGAAGAGTTTGCTTGTCTGACTTACTTCATTAGACACTTCTGGTCAAGAATTGAACAAGAACCACATTCGAAAACTGGAACATCTGAATGACTCCGCAACCCAGGAATCAACTACTCAGTTATTATCGCTCGATAATCGGTTTGGTATCGACGTTACATACTTTATTTTTTTTTTTTAAAAGCTGATTTTAGAAACCAGGGAATTAAAGTTACCCTCCTAAGGCTAACATTAAATCGCTGATTTTATCACTTTTTTGTTCTTTCTTTTCCTTCAAAACATTCCAGTACAACAAAGAAAACTTGCAATCCCGGTCTCCTAGTGCACTGTCCTCTTACAGCAATTTTTCTGCAGCTCTTGTAGGTGGTGCTAGTTCTCCTCAGCCAAGAAAAGTGTCAGCTAACATAAATCAAATTGGCAAGGAAAGTAAAGAGATATTGGTGCTAGATAGTCCCTTTCCTTCTGCTGATATTTCATCTGCTCCAGATGTTCTATCTGAGTTGCTCTATGACACACGATTGATTGCTATGAAAACTAGCCTACTAGATTCACACAAGAAGATAACGCTAGTTTTTCCATCTTCATCTGATAGGCTGAAGGCTAAAAGTCTTATTGAAAACTCTGATGTCATTAAATTACTTGGTTTTCACATCACTCTTTCCCAGAAAGCTCTCCCTAAAGTCACTGTGTCTAATATTCCCAGTCAGATATTCGAAACCATTGAACGCTCTGGTTTGCCCGCTGAAGATTTCCGGTTACAGACTAAAAAAGCTCTTCTAGATATTATTCCCTTGAAAAATCCTGGACTTAAACACTTGCTAGATAATGAGCATTTCTTTGAAATTGTGTACATAAATGTTGGACTAAGGTACACTACTGCTGGGATCAAGGTCTCTCCTCAGATTAGGAACCTATTGACAGGAGACGGCAAAATCTTCATTCTGAATAGTGCTTGTCCTGTAAAGGATAGATTCATCATCAAGCAGTGCTATAATTGTCAGAAGCTCCACCATATTTCCCAAAATTGTCCTGAGAAAGAAACTCTGGTTTGTATGTATTGCAGCGGTAGGCATAGAACATCAGACTGTCATTACAAGGAAGACCCTAGCAGACATAGATGTCGCAATTGCAGTCTGTCAAAAGATCCAAGAGTCTCATCTCACTGTAACACTCACCATTCCAGCTCAGAGCAGTGCCCCATCATGCAACAGGCATTGAATCGGTATAAACAAAACATCCTTACTTCAAAAAACTAGCTACAAACTCTAAGTCAGAATGTCAGAGTATGAACTTTGCCCTGTTCAATTGCAGATCCATATGCAATAAAACTGCTGGAGTCATGCAATTGCTTGAAGACTTTGATACTGATATTTGCTGTGCTACAGAAACTTGGCTGAGAAAAGATGACAATGCTAAGTTTTCTGAGATGAAAGAACTTGGATATTCCATTCATAGCCAGCCAAGAGCTGGGCGGGGAGGAGGTGTTGCTGTTCTATATAAGAAAAGTCTTAAAGTGACTCCTCAGAAGTGCAAGCGATTCAAAACGTTTGAGTCTTGTGAATGTACCTTCAAATCATCTTCTGGAGATATACTACGAATTGTTTCAATTTACCGTTCTGGCACCTCCACATCTCAGAGTGCTAACATCCCCCAATTTCTAACTGACTTTGAGCAACTCTTGGTTGATTTAGTAGACAAACCTGGAAAGCCCTTGATCATGGGTGATTTTAATATCCACATTGAAGACGAAAATGATTCAGTTGCACAAAGGTTTAATTCACTACTTAAGTCTTGTGGGTGGGTGCAACAAATTTCAGCTGCAACACACAGAGATGGGGGCATATTAGATCTTGTAATTACCAGGGATGGTTCTTTTACTCACGATTGCATTGAAGTTCTAGATCCTGTCATTACTGATTCTGGCACATCGTCTGACCACTACTTTGTTGCTTTTAATTGCAATGTATCTCCAGCACCCATAGGCACTCTAGAACCAATTACTTACAGAAACATTGCTTGCATAGACCTAGATGCTTTTGTTGAGGACATTCTTAAGTCAAAACTATGTGACACTGATTGCTTCAATGACCTCGATAGTGCAGTTGATATCTATGAGTCTGAGTTGAGCAGTATTTTGGACAAGCATGCTAAAGAAAAAACTTTCATCCCAAGAAAAGATCATAACGCTGAATGGTGGTCTACACACTGTCAACAAGCAAAAGCAATGAGAAGAAAGATTGAGAGACTGTATCAAAAGAATCATGATTGCCCAGATTATAAACGACTGTACAGGAAAGCATCAGAGAGAGCATCCTCAGTCATTGTATCCACAAGAGATCACTTCTACAAAACAAGGTTACAAGATAGTGCAGGTGATGCTAAAAAGACTTATTCCATCGTTAATAAGTTGCTCAATAAAGAAAAAGTTAGTACTACTACACC